CCCCAAAACCCCAAAACCCCAAAACCCCAAAACCCCTATTATAGATTACATAATTGAAAGGTTAGTAAAATCCTCGGTAAAGTACCTTGTCCATTGTCCTGAAGGCTCTCTTATTACCTTTGGCCTTGCTGATACCTTGAATCATCCTCTTGCCTAAACTCTTGGGTTCAATGTCCTTGAAAGCAGGCGCGATTTTAGCAGATTTTATTTGAGGAGATTTCTTCTTGTAGATCACCTTGAATTGCCCATGGCTACTTTTAAGCCTGAAAATACCTCAGTCGAGGTCTGAAGAGTGATAAGACAAGACTTACTTAGAATAAAGCTCTTAGAGTGGCGCTGAAGGTCTTGGAGAGCACAGAAGATTGAGTTTAAACTATCTTTTACTATTTCTCTCTCGATTATTCAGAGAGAAGCAACCTCTGAGATCAGTGTACTCGATCTATATCAGTCATTAGTCATGCTTGTAGGAATATTAATACATTGTCAACTCTTTGTCTTCCTCTTTTGGCTTGATTCTGAATCGATAAGCTCCCAGTCTGGAAGCATAATAATCATGGCACTCATCTTGAATATTAAGTTGTTTAAAGAAGAAATCTGTATTATCAGGCAGTACTTTTAGAAAGGCATCCCAGCTGATCTTCATCCTATCAAACCGACTCAATTTAGCACAGGTGCATTTCTGGCCTGCTAAATTTAACATAAAAGGACATACTGGAGACTCTCTTTGCCATAACTGCTGTAGAGAGCCGACCTGAAGCATACTTCTTAAATCAGACCCTCTTGTCTGATTTATCCCTGCCCAAACGATTACTGCTGGATGTTCTATAAAATAAAGCTTTTACAGGCCTCCAACACTAAGGATAGGCATGAATTCTCTAAATCTTGGCAAGGTTCAGCCCAGTTGATTTCAGAAATTAAGAGAGTAATCAGCATATTCAAGATCCTCTTACCCATTATGTCTTCATTTTGGGCAACAGCCAGATGCCTTAACATGCTCAAATCCTGACTTTATGTACGAATTCTGGTGACTTCCTGGGTACAAGCACGGATTTTTAAGGATGTATTTTATTACCCCAGTGATGTCCATTTAAATTTTCAAATTTATAAATTATTAAAGGGGTTTTGGGGTTTTGGGGTTTTGGGGTTTTGGGG